CTAATGAAAGTGTTTATAATAATGGGTGTTGTCCTTGATGTAAGGAGACAATATGCATACACTTAACTGGTCAGTCAGGAATTACAAAAATGTATTGCTAAAGCTTCCTTTGATGCACATCAGCAATTTTTTTTTTTAAGTTCTGTGAAACATCTCCGTACTTACATTAAAGGTACAAGAGCAATAGAACACCAGGATTATTTTAGATTTCTCTTGTGTATGTTATTTGTAACCAGAACTATTCCAAGTCAATTTACAAATGAAAACACTCTAGTACCCAATCCCTACTGTTCATGTTACTGAACAAAGTTTAATTTGTCAACTTTTTTTTTTAAATATACTAGAATATGCAGAGCACACACGTGCATTTATAAATTTTAAACAAAGAAAAAGGATTAGAAATGTAGTTTTACATTACCAACAGGTAGTAGTTTTAATAGATCTGATTTTGTTGAAAGATCAATATTACAAAAAATATATAGATTTTTTTAAGTATCGCTTTTTACTGAAGTCAGAGCCATAAACCTGATACAAGTTTCAATACTTCTCAGAATATTTATTTTTCTATTGCTCACCTAAATTGTAAAAACAAAAAATGACAACCCCAAAACATGTATTCAGCATGAGCCTGCTCCTAGGGAGTCCTGAGTTTGATGGCTATCCCCAAGTCTTGCTCCAGGAGCTGCAATGTGTGCAAGTAGTGCGGTTCAAGTATAGAGGAAGGAAGGAGCTGTAGTGTGAAGTGACAAGAGTGGGGCTTTGACACAGATTCAGAACACCCTTTCACCCCCCCAAATAAGCAAAACATAGTATTCTGAAGGCATTATATTGTGGATATCCCAATCATTTGTTACTTACCAAAGCCGGATACCAGTCAGTCTTCTCCGAACAAAAAATTACACTGACAACTTTGCCAAGCAATTCATCATTAAGACGTCTCTTATCTTCCTCTTCCTCTTCACTACTTTCTTCCTCTTTTTCATCTTCAGTGCTAGAGGATTAAGCATACAATCTTTTAAAACGGCCTTAATTTGAATATCAGAATTGTGAGGAAATATAACTCATAAGAGCAGCAGTAAAATACTGGTTTAGGGCCACTAAAACTAATTTTTAAAAGCAAAAGGTTGAACTTGAAAAAACTGAAATAGTAAAGAGCATAAATTAAGTAAAAGGAGTTTGATTTGCTGAAGTCTCTGTGCTCACAATTATAATTACTGTATTTGTATTGCAGTACTACCTGGGAGCCCCAATCATGGAACAGGCCTCCACTGTGCTAGGTCATGTACACACACAGAACAAAAAGCGTTCCTGCCCCAAAGAGCTTACAAACCTGAAGCTTCCATACATACAGTTTTACCAGTTTAAATGCCAAAGCATGTTGAAAATCCTAGATTTACTCATATACCAGATAAACTTTTTTCATAAATTTGGAAGTGATTACATTTTAAAGCTAGTGCCCGACAAGATGAGCTGTTTTCAAATACATGCTGTGAATATAATACATAACAAAATAATGACTGTTTCATCCCTCCTACATCACTCTTTTTAGTCATTTAAGACCAAATTCTGTCTGCTAGGCACACATGAATAGTCCCATTGAAATTCTAGGGTCATCAGAGTTTAGCAAAGGACAATAAGGTAACAAAGTAGCATATATAGAATTATAAAAAACTCACACAGGAAGAGAAGATCTTCTTCCTCTGTTGGATTTCTTCCCAATTACTGGAGTTCCAAAGTGCTCTGGATTTGTTAGTGGCAGTTGGTCAAGTGTCTAGGAGAAGATGGGAATATAAATCAGCTTGCAATTCTTCCACAACGTAAAGACTTTTACTTTCCAGCTTGAAGAAAAGTTAACATCTCCTTACCTCACTTTCTGCAAAGTGTCTCTCCCCTTTCAAGCACAATGAAGTTCGTCTCAACGTCCTCTCATCTCCATCATCAAAAACTAGAATGAAGTCAGAGACAAAGATAGTGGCACAAGATTTGCAAATGTAACTAAATGGCCAGTTTGCGATTCAAAATCATAAATTAAATAATCCTGTAGAATATGCCTCTGAGGACTTAATTTAAGTTCTTTGGTTCAAAAGTGGAAAGAAGTCTGATAGTCAAGATCTGGCCCAAGAGCAGGCAAACATTCCAGCACATGGATTCAAAGTCACTGCAAAAATCAGGCTGCCAGCTGCACCAGTCTCAGGGTTTGTCATCTCTCTTATCGATACACTGTACTACTAAAGACCACAGATACTGGCTGCCTGCCAGTTATCATTCCAAACCAACATCCCCAGCAGGGTTGAAACACCCAATTATTTCTGATTTAAGCTGGGCCAGTCTCCCAACTCTGTTTCTGTTGCCATGGGAAATAGGAAGCAGGCAACTGTCCACTTGTATACTCTCTGGGGAAACGTTGCTAGTGGGCAGACAAATACACATGGAAGTTTCTGCTACAACATAAAATATTATGCTACAGATAAGCGGAGAACTGGAAGCCCAAACGTGGTAGTCTGGCCATCTCTGTTCTAGTCCCTACTGGACATTTTGTTCACCTCACAAAATCACACATAATCAGAAGCAAGTCATCTAAATTTTTAACGCATGGCCAGGAGAGACCTAGAAAATAATAGTGAGGCTGTTACATACATGGACTCAGGTATGCTAGCAGATATATAAAGAATAGCTTGTGCTACTCCTGGTTACCGGGATGGGCTAACAGGACTGTCTATTTCTATAAAATTCACAACTTCTTCCAAAAGAGGGAATTTTACCTCTAAATTAGTTTTTTAGATTGTTAACAGCTTAATATCTATGAGAGTCACTGTATACTTTAATTAAAACGCATAAACCCTGACTAAATTTGAAGTAGAATGTATACATTTTGGCAATTTTGCATTTTACATCAGAAATCCCGATCCTAAAATAAGAACATCTGAGCAAACCCTTATGCATGTGCAGAGACCCAGTGACTTCCAAGGGATGCTGACCTGATCGAAGGGGTCCATGGCCTCCATTCAGTTGCAGGATATATATTCTGTATTTACACTATTAGGAAGAGGTTGTCTATCCCATAGCCAGTATATACCATACAGTCTGGACATGTTTGTTTTATTAGTGTGATAACTGTGGCATCCTTTTTACAAGAAAAATCTCTCAGACTAACGTGAATACAATATATTTGTGTTGCTAAAAATTCAATACATTTACATCAAGATATAAAGCAAAATTTAAATTATTCCTCTGTAATTCCTCTGTAATTCTAGTCTGCCAACCAAAAAGAAAAGAAACCACAATGTTCTAACAGCCTAATTTAAGACTAGAAACTGTAAGAGTAATTAGAAATAAAGAGCAGAGTACGCAAGCAATATCTTAGCAGGCCTACTAAGCTTTATAATTTGCATGTCTGTAGTCTCCCAACTGAGCTACTTTGATAGAGGTAAGCCAATTGATTCAGCTTGTTATACTTGTTCACATAAACTACTATAAGTTTTAAAACAGCAAGCAATCCTGCTCCCTAACTGCCTTCCAATAATCTTTCTCAAAACTATTAAAACATAAAATTGCTAGATAGTAACTACAAAATAGTCATACGATATAGGTTTGCACACATTTTTATTAATGTAATCTATTTTAAAAGTTTAAACTCTATTACTTAGTTTCCCGAAAAAGCCACTGTGCACATTTTGCTCTTTGACTTTCAAATTATATCTTATCCATTTTTTTCATTATTTCTTACTTTTCTTTCTTTTTTTTCCCCGCCCCCAGTAATCAATGTTACTTTCTTTGTGTAAACAAGGCCTTGGCCCCTCACCACCTCTTCTCCTCCCACCAGATTCTACACGGAAGTCAAAATGCTGAATTTGTAGAAGTAATAATTTCTGGGGCAATACACTGATGTTCAGCAGAAGATAACTTCACCACAGCATCAAGCAAGACATGATAGTGGATTGCAAGGGAGAAATCACGCCTAATTTATCTGATATTTTGGAAGCTAGATTTTTACAAAGAAAATCTCTCTCAAACAAGTTTGATGTAGAAAAAAAAGGAAACTCCAGGCTAAAGCCAGATGACAGAGAGCTTCCATGTTATATTTTTAGGGGATAGTACAGGATGCTCAATTGTTTAAGGTTTTGCAGCCGTACAAAAGAAATGCTATTTCCTTCCCAAACATGTCACACTAATCCTCCAACTAACTACTCAGCTTTCATTTTACTGTGAAGACCAACATCTTAACATCCATCACGAACAAAAAATCCCAAAAGTTAAATACTGAGCAAAATATAAGTACATAATACAATATAGTATATTTCATTAAAAAATTAAAAATAAGACCTCTTAGGCTGCTTGTGACACAAATAGGAAATAATGTGCTAAAAAGGTCTTTCCTCAGCTAGGAACAAACATCTCATTTAACACGTGGCTCAGGAATCAAATAATCCATCCCTATTCCCTGCTAATAGGACAGTGAAGTGTTATCAGAACTAATTTATCTTTATCTCAGAACTTCAAATTTATTTTTCATGGGCAGAGAGGCAAATCTCCTCCCATACTCTTACAGGTGGAAGAAATGAGGATAATTAACATGTTGAGGGAGATCTGAATGCCCCCCTGCACCTCTTACAGACCTTTTCTACAGCCCCTATAGCCCTCCCAGCCATACATCCTCTTTCACCACACCTGAACAAAAGGAAGACTCTCCTATCTAATGCCTTGCTGCAGGCAGTCCTCTCCCTGCAAGACCTGGTATTTGTCACCTCTGCAATCCCTGGTGCCAGCTACAAAAGTGGCTTCTTCTAGCACAACTGTTTGTCTCTTATATCAGAAAGGGAATCTCACTGTACAAGCTGCCAAGGGAGACAGACTGAGCAAGCACTAGGACATTCAGTAACAACCGCAGCTGAAACAGAGTGCGGCTAAGAGAGTCAAGACACGCCCCCACCCCCATCATGAAGAAAAGGGTAGGAAGGAAAGCCAGGATCTCTGAAGGGATACAATTATTTATACAGCACTCTTTTCCTTGTCTCCCTTCCATACACGGGCCAACTGGAGCAGCTAGCTCTGCACTTCAGGAAGGAAAGGTGGAAAAATATGAATTTCACACCCTCCCTCCTGAACTCTACCACGCCAAGCAATTGGTTTAAGAGTTAAGGAAGGGGGGCGGGGGGGAAATGTGTCTGTTCAACAGCCATGTGGGAGTCCCCTGACTGGGAGCATAGGAAATACATGGCAGGCTTAAGAGTGCATGATCCCTTCAATTTAATTAAAGCCCCAACTTACAAGCTCCATTTTTATTTTGTTGCTGCATACCTAGGACTGAAGGTTTTTCAAACTGAAAGAATGGTTAATGTTCAAGTAATCTGACTACAGACATATATAAACAAACTACGCAAAGATTTATGAGGTCTGTCTCTATTCCAACCTGTGGCTATCCCCCACACACATCTGATGCACAATACAAAGGATGTTTTTAGACAGTTATTACAAGCCTAAATTACTAGTTGTAAATAAATTATAGCAGGTAAATTATAGCCTAAATTATAGCAGGTAAATAAACTGGAGGGAAATAGTGTCCCACAGCATTATTGTTACTTACAAACCCCAAAGCAAAATCCTTTCAAATACTACTGTAGAGATGACTGTTTGATCTTTGGGGGGGAAAAAAGGGGGAAGGGAGCGCGAAAAAAGGGGCAATGTTTTTTTTAAAGGGTCACACTTATTAAATTACTTTGAGGGCAAAGTGAGGGATTCCCTTTGCTCACATAGGAGTTTCTGTAAATATAAAAATTTACAGATCATTCCACAAACATAAGAATAAACAAAGGATGCTAGCCCACAAGGACAGGACCGCGACAGAAGGATTTTTTTGTGGATCAGACCAATGGCCCATATAATTGAGACCATAGATCAGGGGTCGGCAACGTTTGGCACGCGGCTTGCCAGGGTAA